GTCCACTGTAGGGTCCAATGGGTTGACCAGCCTTAGAGTGGACATTTGTTGGATAGTATTTTGTTTGCAGGGCCTTACATGTGTATTTAATTGCATCATAGTTTCAAATGCATTTATAAAGATTTATGAATTCATTGGGAGTACCTAGGTGGTTGCCTGGGGCAGAGGGACCGTGAGAGAATTTTACTGTCTTGATTGATGGATGGATTTGGAACGAAGGTTGCCAGACAGTTTTTCGCTCTCACACTCCATAAAGATTTGTTCATATTTCATAGTAATGTATTCACACTTCATAAACATTTATTCATATTTCATAGAAAGGTATTTACACTCCAGAGGGAAATGTTTTTGGTTTAATGTTAAAGATACTCAATAAGATAAATTGTTACTTGTCATAATCCTATTCTGTTTGTTTTCGAGACTTTTAGTTCGTCTCGAAGGGGGGAAATGTAGTGTATTAGGATTATGTCTTTGTTAATGGTTTTTAAGTGGAACTGAAAGAATGTTGATTTTAGTATCAAGAGGGAATGTTTTAGTGTAACGCCACATACAACAGACAGGAAGTGTGTTGTAGACAGGGGATTGGACAGTAGAGGGAGCCACCCACATCTTGGGGAGATTATATATACTGGGGGAAAAACGAAGGAGAGGGCAGAGCGGCCATTGCAATTCGGGGGATGCCGTTCTCCGGGTGATCTTGACACCTGTAAGCTCATGCTGAAAGCTTGTGATATCAAAGTTCAGTATGAGCGGACTCCTTTGTTTATCAGCAATAATTGCCAGCATTCACCCGATACGACAGCCACAACATGCCCATCACTTTAGTAAACAATATACATTGCATGGGACCCTATTCAAACACTCCATCTTTTTCACATACAACGGTATCACTAAAATGTCTATTACCTTATCAAGCTCACAGGCTGTAGGAAACATGGAGATGGAGAGATGGGTCACCAATAGTTTATGAGACACTTTTATCCACGGTCGGGGAGAGATGACCAACCAGAATATCAGAAAAGCCCATCTATTTCCACGTCACTGATCCAGAAAGTTCAGTGGGACTGGAGCCTTCGCTTTCCAGAGGGAGCCCCATTCTGGCCATGTTCTTAGCTTTAGTATTCTGTGTCTGTTTATTATTCATGAAACCTGAAGGCAGAGATAAGATGCATAAGAGCTTCAGTGTCCTGCCTGAGTGCCTGGTTGGATGGCTGGGATGATGAAAGGGCATCTGTAGAACTGAATATGTAACAAAACATCCCATCACACTATGATGAAAAGAGTTCAACCATCCAAGAAATGTAGTGGTGAGAAGAGAATAAACTTTTCAGATAACTAAAACAAGTGGACAGCCAAGCTTGGTCCCCTTCAGACTGAGACTCAAAACACAAGGTTTACACGGAATGACCATATCCTAGTCCTGCAAATATACATATTTGATTTGTTTTGATTCAACAAATGTGTTCAATCTATGTAAACATGCATGGCGTGCAGTGGATGACATCTCAACATCATGACATGGGACATCCACTTGTACAGATTGTCAGAGCTCATCACTGATTAGATGCAATGCTTTGGACAAGCACACAGTATTAACTGATTAAGCATCAGGGACAACACACAGTAAAGTCATAGTGAAATCAGAAATTATATCCATCCGATACATAATCCTAACAATAACACCAGTGTATTACTTGTTTTAGGTTCATTGTCATCCCGTACACATCCAAAATCGTTCAAACTGATAAAGAAAGAGCTCATCTGTTTGGCCCTGTTGGATAGGCAGATGTTCTAAGTCTTGTTTCTGCTGTAACATGGTAAGCTGCCACAATAATTACTACGGTACAGTGGAAAGGCCATGGCACACTTCATAATGAGAGACACAGAGCACACTAGAGGAAGCAAGGCACCAATCATAATCCTGGAGTGAACATGACTGGAATGAGGAACAAGCACTTCACTTCATCATCCTAGCCAGTGAGATGATGGCTTGGCCAGATTTAGTAAGTTGTGTCTTGAAATAGTTAAGAAATGCATCACACAAGCTAGAACCCAACAACATCTTTATAACTTCAGTTCTGCATTGCATTACCTTGCTTGTGGGTACTAATTTCCTTGCATAAAATATGGCTCATATCATTGACATTGTGAAATTTTATGATAAATAGCGCTCTCTGCTGGTGTGTCAAGGAATGGGCTCACCTTATTTAGGACAGTCATAGTGTTTCCCAACTCCAGTACTCAAGAACCCTCAACAGTACACATTTTTATTGTAGTCCCAGACAAGCACACCTGATTCAGCTTGTTAACTAATCATCAAGCCCTTGGTGAGTTGTACGAGGTGTGCTTGTCCAGGGCTACAACCAACATGTGTACTGTTGGGGGTACTTGAGGACTGAAGTTGGGAAAGACATACTGTAGACCTAAACAGGACACACGTGTGTATGTGATCATGTGTAAGTGTACAAAATGATGTACCAGCAGTTGGCAAGGAAATATATAATTTGCATCATCATTGGAAACATAAAAATAAAATAAATCTCTTGAGATGCTGTTTACAGTAATTACACCAGTGTGTGTGCCTTCATAACATACTGTAGAGATGATATGTGCTCATGATAGGTGCCAGAAAGGCTTGTTCCGATAAGCAGCTGGATTGTGTGATTCCCAAATACTTCTGCTATAAATAAAACCTCAAAGTTCAACAGTATTTTGAAGAACTGTCAAAATCCACCGAGAAGTTCTTAACGTCTGAATAAACAGAGACTCACTCAACCAGAAATACTGAAGTCAAAATTTTAACATCAGAATGAATATGTTTTTATAACCATAAAACCATGTCTGACTGAGCACTCACAAAGAGAATCATGGCAAGAAGAGAGAATAAAATCAAAGGAAAATCTGAGAGGGCAGTTGAAGAGGTAAGAAAAGGAGAGAGAGGGCCAGGAGGCACTGATCATAGAGGAGGGAATTTCAGGGAAATCAAATCAGTCCTTTTTGTCAAGTAAGTCTACCCCCACCACTTCCTCATCCTCAACGGTTAGCGAGATGCAGGAAGCCTCCACTTTCCCAGCAACCCACTCACCTCCAGCGGACTGGGCTTTGAAGCCGCGACCAATCAGCCAGCCAAAGGGCCCAGGGCCATGTGGCAGATGCACTGGATAGGAAAGCCACGGCTGTGTGGGATGAGCCACATAAGCCGTACACACACACTGGCACAGTCATTCCATTTAGAACTTTGAGAGAGAAAAACAACAGGAGGTTGATGATGAATACATCACTGATATGAGATGAGGCAGCAAGAACGTGTAGGGGTTTATAAATAAAACACATTTAAGACAATGAAAGAGAAAGAGAGATAGAGAGACAGAGAGAGAGCAAGCGAGAGAGATCTAAATCGCACAAACATAGCATACAGAATAGAATACAGTAAGAGTGTGCACACTGCACAGTGAGAGAGATGCAGAGAGGGTGAAGGGGAGAAATGATTAAGGGTAAAAAGGGATAGAGAGCCTTGGTGAAGAACATAGAAATCCCTCAGACAGGTATCATTTATTTAACACGGCCCTGCCAAAACCTAAACTAATATTCCAAAATGAGAGTGGTCAGTGTGTCCTGAGCAACACAGAGAGAGATATTCCTGCCATTTCAAACTGACATGGCACAGAGCACTGTAGGACGCTTACAGTATAGATGAATAACACTGTATCAAAGTTTCTCTCTACCTTCTTCTTGTCTCACCTTCTGGTGGACTTTCAAACAGTTGCGGACTCAGAGGGTGTGAAAGGCATATAACATGAGGAATAATTCAACAAAAGATTACTCTGCAGCACCTTAAACTTGTGGCAGAGCTTTGAAACTCCCAGACTTGAGGTATCTGATGTGAACTCTGAGCCAGCCACCTATTTGACAGGCAGTGTGTGAGAGCTGGAGGGATGAGTAAGGTACAGGAGATATACTGCTCAAAGGACAAGAAAATAACAATAATAAAATGAGCAGAGTGCCAATTCAAAAACGTAAATGACAGTACTATACTGTCATGCAAGTTTTTGAATTGGCACTCTTCTCATGTATCTCTGCTCTGCTGAGTAGTCTCCATTTCAGAAAAGGTTCACACAAGTCAATCCAATCGCAGAAAAGGTTGACACAAGTCAATCCAATTGCAAATGTGCTAAATGTTTCTGCTGGCTATCAGCAATAGAGTTGGAGAGATTTGAAGTGAGATTTGAAACCCGTCCTAAGGTATTTAGCCTACAGGGGTACCATGCAGACATAATTTGCCCATCTATATTGTATTTTTAATATAAGTAATTGATATAAGGCTATATTGATCAGAGCAGAGGAAAGCACAACCCAGTTGTTTCAAAGCCAAGCGGAGAGATCTATGCAATTACAACATTCTTTATCGAAATGGACGTGGGAATAGGCTTGCAGTGACATTTTTGTTGTAGGCTTAACTAGGCAACATGCAGCCAAATCAATAATTCTGAGGCAGAGTATAAAAGATAAATGATGTTGCTTTGCTTTGAACAGGCATCAAAGCAAACAGGAAATGGCTCCATCAGAGTGGGTAGGGCTGCTGTCTCTCTGATCGCTAACCATGTTGCAGATGAAGTTGTTTTGAGGATCAGTGTAGAGAAAAGATCCAAACCTCATCAGTACAAAAACTAAAGTTGAAGACATTAGCTGAAAGTTGACCTTCACTTTTTGTACTGAACAATAGAGGGCAGAAGTTTACCAAATATATTTCAATCTTTCTGATAGTAGCCTACTATCACCGTAGACTGACTCGTTGGCTCCTACAACCGTTTTTCATGAGTTATAAATCGAGAGTAAAATATAAAAACTAACATTTTAATGCATGACACATGCTCCAACTATTCGACCGTGTGTTTCCAGTCGGCGTAAAAGAGACGGTGGACACAATCGCACCAATCACAAGCTGGCTTTCAAATACTAGCCAATGGAAAGTCAGACATATGAGCGAGAGAGGCGGTCGTGTTTGGGTTTTGTTTTCATTCAGGTGTCGCATGGAAATCTGAGTCTTCCTAGATAATATTTGTAAGATCATTTTAAATTGACTTAGCTCACAGGTAAAAACAACTTCGGACTGAAAAATGAGTTATCCGCCATCGAAAAGGGTTTATGCAGATTTGCCCGTATGGATTGTAGAAGACCACTGTGATGTAAGAACATTTTGCTAGCAATAGCTATTTTTAGCTAGCTAGCCACATTTCTGCAATATCTAACGTTATCTTGCTAGCTAGTTGCACACTGTACAAATATAATGTATTCCCCATTTGAATGTCTCTACAATGTCGATCTACAGTACATCCCTGTGAGATGCTACCTCACTTTCTCAAAATAGCAAATTCTCTAGCTGGCTAAGAGATCACATTACATTAGCTAGCTGGCTTACATTAGCTAGCTGGCTAACGTTAGCTAGCTACTTTACTAAGAGGCTTCATGCATGCTTACTCTATAATTGTGACGAGATCAGGTCTCCTTTCTGGTTCTGAACAACCAGGCTTTTGTTCCAGGCCAGCGCCAACACATCAAATTCAATACTTTGTTATCCAGACTGGAGATCATGATTTTAATTGATTATTTAAAATGTAACGTTAGCTTAGGGCTCGAACAAAAGCCTGCACACCCAGTAGCTCTCCAGAACCCTATGGGCTAGATATAGATAGGTAACACTGACCCCCCCCCCCCCCCCCCCCCCCCAAAAAAAAATATATCAATTTTGAGAAAGTATCTATCTTATCTGTTGCAATGTGTCCCTCAGGTGGTAAGTCCTATATATCGGGCTATAGCATCAAGGCACTTGCCACTGAAGAACATCAAGATGGTCCATCTGGATTCCCACCCAGACCTCCTCATACCTGTCAATATGCCTGCAGACACTGTGTTTGACAAGGACACCTTGCTCAGGTGGGGTTACTAATGAACAGGGAGACTAGCCTATACTGTACCAGCAAACATACTGTATGGACACGGACATGCCATCATCCCACATTTTATATATCCTTGAAATCTTTGTTTGCTAAGTTACCTCTTCAGGTAGCCTACAGCACAGACTAAAATTCATTCAATTTCACTGAATAAATAGGGCATGACATGACCAGTATTTGCATATACATTACATGCATTCACTCACTGATCATGTATTGTTCTTTTTTTTTTTGCAGTGAGCTGAGCATTGAGAACTGGATCATGCCCATGGTATATGCTGGGCATGTGTCTCACGTGGCTTGGCTCCATCCCCACTGGGCACAACAGATCAAGGAAGGAGAGCACGCCTTTTCTGTGGGAAAAGACTCCTCCACAACCACCATCAGGTCATTAACCCACCTGACACAACACTGGTTTTCTTAGCCAATCACTTCCTGATTATCTGGACATTTAATACAGGAAGGTATGGTTTGACCCAAATATGTTTCTTATTTGTACTTTGTTTGGTTTGTTTCAGAGTTACAAGTAAGGACGACTACTTTTTAAGTGACGGCCTGTATGTTCCTCAGGATCAGCTGGAGAATCCTAAACCTCTGGGACTTAGTGTTGTCTTAGTGAACCCCGTGGCGTGTTGCCAGAGGAGAGACATGGAGAGGGACATTGGGAAGAGCTCTGCCAAAAGACCCAGGATAGAGAAAAAGGGAGCTGGGGATGTGAATGATGCTCAATCCTCATCTGCTTCAGCTTCCAAGTCTGAGAGCAGCTCTAGTAGCTGTGCTGACAGCGTTCAGCCACCAGGTGGCAGTAGAACCTCAGGGACCAGCAGCCATGGCAACAACAGAGAAGAGGAAAAGGAGCCACTCAAACAGCCTTGTTCAAAGACTGACAATGATGAGGGTTCAACGACCTACGCTGTGAACAGCCTTCTCTCCGTTATCAAACAAACTGATCCATACATACTTGACATCGACCTTGATTTTTTCTCTTGTAAGAATCCCTTCAAGGAGATGTATACACAGGTAAAGGCAATTATCGGTTACTATTGGATACCAGAGGCTTATTAACATTCTCAAGAAAACATATACTGCCGAGATGTAGCAGATATCTTACTTAGAATCAGCAGAAGTGTTGTAAGGTGTTTAGACGTTGGTTTTTCCTTGGCATTCGTCTTATGATTTGACGCCATCAGTTTTACACCCCCTCCTCTGTATACCATAGGAGGAGTACACTATTCTACAGGAGCTATACAGCTTCAGGAAACCTAGAGAAGACCCAGACGAGGTGAAAGAAAATACTTTGTCTGTTCTGAAGGTGTAATGTGTGTTGGAAGGTGTCTCTATATCAGAAGCATGTGGTGTTTCTCCGCTGCTGTACACTACAACTGTGTCATGTTGTGTTGTTTTCAGGAGGAGTTGACAGAGTGTGTGGAGAGACGTATCCGGCAGCTGGAGGATCTGGAAGCAGCATTTGCAGACCTGGTGGACGATGATAGTGAGGAGACGGTCAGGCGCTGGGCTGCCAACCCTGGGTAGGGTAAATCTCCTCTACCTTCCTTACGGTATCTGGGCTGGCGATGCTGAGTAAATCTCCTGTACCTGCCAGGCAGTCATTTCTGCATCAGCCCAACTAGGCCTAATCCTCAGAACCCTTCTATCCTTAGAATCCTTCAATTTTTTACACTTTAATTAAAAATGAAAAGCTGAAATGTCTTGAGTCAATAAGTATTAAACCCCTTTGTTACGGCAAGCTGTAAGGTCCCTCAGTCGAGCAGTGAATTTCAAACAGAGATTCAACCACAAAGACCAGGGAGGTATTTCAATGGCTCGCAAAGAAAGCCACCTATTGGTAGATTGGTAAATAAAAAATATAAAAACTGACATTGAATATCCCTTTGAGCATGGTGAAGTCATTAATTAAACTTTGGATGGTGTGTCAATACACCCAGTCACTACAAAGATACAGGCGTCCATCCTAACTCAGTTCCTGGAAAGGAGGGAAACCGCTCAGGGATTTCACTATGAGGCCAATGGTGACTAAAACAATTACAGAGTTTAATGGCTGTGATAGGAGAAAACTGAGGATGGATCAACAACATTGTAGTTACTCCTCAATACTAACCTAATTGACAGAGTGAAAAGAAGGAATCCTGTAGAGAGTAAAAATATTCCAAAACATGCATCCTGTTTGCAATAAGGCACTAAAGTAAAGATGCAAAACATGTGGCTAAGAAATGTACTTTATGTCCTGAATACAAAGTGTTATGTTTGGGGTAAACACAACACATCACTGAGTACCACTTTTCATATTTTCAAGCATGGTTGCATCATATTTTCAAGCATGGCTGCATCATGTTATGGGTATGCTTGTCATCGGCATGGACTATGGAGTTTTTTTGGGATGAAAATAAACAGAATAGAGCTAAGCACAGGCAAAATCCTAGAAGAAAACTGGGTTCAGTCTATTTTCCAACAGACACTGGGAGACAAATTCTCCTTTCAGTGGGACAATAACCTAAAACGCAAGGACAAATATACACTGGAGTTGCTTACCAAGATGACATTGAATGTTCCTGAGTGGCCTAGTTACAGTTTTGACTTAAAATGTCTTGAAAATCTATGTCAAGTCTTGAAAATGGCTGTCTAGCAATGATCAACAACCAACTTGACAGAGCTTGAATATTTTTTAAAAAGAATAATGTGCAAATAATGTACAATCCAGGTGTGCAAAACTCTTAGGGATTTACCCAGAAAGACTCACAGCTGTAATCTCTGCCAAAGGTGATTCTAACGTATTGACTCAGGGGTGTGAATACTTATGTAAATGATATATTTCTGTACTTCATTTTCAATAAATTGGCAAACATTTCTAAAAATATTTTTTCACTTTGTCATTATAGGGTATTGTGTGTAAATGGGTGAGCAAAACAATTAATTGTATCAATATTTAATTCAGGCTGTAACACAACAAAATGTGGAATAAGTCGAGGGGTATGAATACTTTCTGAAGGCACTGTAGATCTAGGCCTACTGTCTTTCCCATGAACAACTGATATAATACCTTTAATCAAAGTTTTCCTCTGGGGTTGATCACCTCTGTTGTCTGCCTCTCACACAGTCTGAATTAGATTAGGCTGTCATTTTAGATAGAGAGATACTGTACAGGCGTGGTACTGTAGGGTGATGATCATGGTGGAAAATATCAAATACTTATTTTAAAAGTTGTTATTTTCCTGTTGTTTTTAGGATGACATCTCTGGTCAAACTAGTGGGAAGCCTGCGGAATCGAAACGAGGCCCCTGACTACGAAATGGTAAACAGCTTCTTTCACCAACATAGTCATCACCATTAGTGTGTTTTTTTCTACATTTCTAATTACATTCTTTCAGGGAAGGAAAATAAGATGAGGAAGAACATAATGTAGCACTAATTATGATGGTCAATATATAAATATAGCCTGTCCCATTAACAGCTAAATGGGTTAGATTTTTGATCCCTGCCTCTTTCCAACCTTTACTCTGAAAGGCACCATGATGATAAAAAAGATGGCTTTCATTATGTGGTTGGCTGACATTATTGTCTCTCCCTTCCTATGTGATGGTTATGATGATGATGATGAAGGTGTACAAGCTGGGTCTGACTTGTGATTGTGTCTCCCTTCCTCTCCCTCTGTGATAATGGTAATGATGAAGGTGCACCAGGCGGGGCTGACCTGTGACTATTCGGAGCTGCCCCACCACATCAGTAGTGAGGAGGAGATTGAGAGACTGGTCCTGGCGGTGGAGCTCGTCCTGGAGGCCCTGCCGAAGCCCACCCTTGTCACTGTATCCAGGTACGTCAGCGCCCTCCCTGGAAAACAGCCATCTTACTTATTCAACGAAAATGGGATTTGTAGCTTGCTGAAGGAACATTGGACATGTAGCAAACTGTTTATTTGTATTTTTATTGTTGACAGCCATCAATTTGCTATTTGCAAGATGGAGCAAGACAGAAAGTTAATGAAGTACTGACTCATTCAGTTAGTGTTTGATAACAAAGGCATGTGAAAACGTAGTCTTGACCCGTATTGGCACATTTTGTTCTGCTACTAAGAAATGTCGATCTAATCTTCAAATAATGCTGATCTTGCATCAGTTGACACAAACACCTTAGTCATTGTATTTTTAGCAAAGTTGTTCTTTTTCATGCAGACACAGTCCATTTAACAAAGTATAATGATGCATCACCTTTGACTGGATGACATAGTTTTTTGAATGACGGAATTGCAAGTTTGTGTTCAATCATGTTATTCTGAAATTTGGACCGTTTGCATGTGTTATTGGACAATTTGACAGCTGATTGAATCACTGTTTTGTTTGGCAGATCCAGTCTGGATGAGTACTGCCCAACTGAACAGGTCAACTCCATCCAGAGTAGGATACTAGCCATCCTGGAGTCTCTATATGGCTTGTTGGACGTCCATAAGGAGTACGAGGCGACACCAGAGGACAACCTGCCCAAGGCATCATGACACAAATCACTGTGATGACAGAACGCATCGTAATTTGATATGCACCCATCGAATTACTGACTTTCACTCAGAAATCATGCACTGGTGTCAGTGTGAGGATTCAGCCTGAAGATACATACATGTACTAGTTTATTTGAAAGGCTTTAAGTTAGAAGTATGAATTAATGGTTGAAAATCAAGATAGCATGTCTACCTGCTCCTGTTTTCTTTCTCAGGTAGGCAGATGTCAAACATATCAATATTCACCTGACCATTGTTGTGAATCAGATACTGTACAATTTAATGAGGACTTGTTGACTTTCTTTGTGCTGAACCCAGTCCTCGACGTGCCAGTTTTCATAATTTGTGTGTCATTACTTGTTTGCCACTTTCTTGCCCAGTCTAGACAATATTGGATGCAGACATAATTCACAAAGTGGAGGTTTTATGACTATGGAGCCATTTTACACCAAATGCAGTGATTGCACAAATTATTCAACTGTATCTGTATGAATTATTCATCTAATTAATATTATTTTTGTGCACATCTATTTCCCTTTGCTCATTACTCTCAAATATTTTCCCTAATGTGATGTACCACTTCAATACAATCTGAGAAAAGTGCTGATGACCACTTTTAAATTTGTTTCTTCGTTTTCTTTTCTTCTTCTTCAAAGCAGCAAATGATTATGATTAGATCCTATCCTACCCCACCCACTTCGGTTTGTTTGCTCCCATGGCCAGTTGCTTAGCAACTCTATGCAGTACTTTGATGTTTTCATCTCACTGTTTGTAGAACTGTATAAATAGATTTTTCTCTGTCAGTCAAGGCTATTGCATATTATGACAAAACTTTAATACCTTGGTTGTCAATGTAGAGTACAATTTGTCCCAACTACTGCACTGTCATTTTGAGTGTACAAGAATACCTATTCATGGTTGTACATGAATATATTACACTTCATTTAATGTTATTCTCATTTAATTATTACAGACACTCTATAATATTGTTCTAATTTTAAACGTCTTCCAAGGAAAGATAGGATACCATCAGAGCAGGCGCTATTTGTTGTGAGGAAATGTAATCTATTACATTTTCCGTGGTTATAATAGACTCAGTGATTGTTTTGTTTCCTGTTTTAATATTGACCGTGTTCTTTTGAACAGAACTGGTGAATTTTTTTTTTTACACCCATGACAAATTGTCCAATTACAAAATTCATGGCTTTGCGTATGATATCTTAATGCATCCTGAGGGTTGGAATCAGCCTTTCATATTACCTGAGGTAATTCACAACAGAAACACACACCGACTCAATTAAGAGGACATTGATGCTCCTCGAACATAATCATATGATTACATTTTTGGGATTGCAGCCCACCATTTAAACATTAATTTATACCACAGCATGATGTAGCCTATTCCACACATCAAGAACATTCTGTGGGTACACAATCTCTGCTATATGATGATTCAATGGCTGCGTTTACACAGGTAGCCCTATTGACAAAACTTAGTGCTATAGAAACTGCTGCACCATGGTCAGAGCCATGTATATATACACTACCAGTCAAAAGTTTGGACACACCTACTCATTCAAGGGTTTTTCTTTATTTTTACTATTTTTTACATTGTAGAATAATAGTGAAGACATCAAAACTATGAAATAACACATATGGAATCATGTAGTAACCACAAAAGTGTTAAACAAATCAAAAAATATGTTATATTTGAGATTATTCAAATAGCCACCCTTTGCCTTGATGACAGCTTTGCACACTCTTGGCATTCTCTCAAGGACATTCAGAGACTTGTCCCGAAGCCACTCCTGTGTTGTCTTGGCTGTGTGCTTAGGGTCGTTGTCCTGTTGGAAGGTGAACCTTCACCCCAGTCTGAGGCCCTGAGCGCTCTGGAGCAGGTTTTCATCAAGGATCTCTCTGTACTTTGCTCCGTTCATCTTTGCCTCGATCCTGACTAGTCTCCCAGTCCCTGCTGCTGAAAAACAACCGCAAAACCTGTTTTCGCTTTGTCATTATGGGGTATTGTGTATAGATTGCTGAGGAAATTGTTTTATTTAATCAATTTTAGAATAAGGATGTAATGTAACAAAATGTGGAAAAAGTAAAGGGGTCTGAATACTTTCCATATTGAACACCCCCCCCCCCCCTTTTTTTTGCTCTAAGAACAGCCTTAATTTGTCGGGGCATCAAATTGTATAACCTAAAAGGCTAGCTATGCACTATGACCTATTAAGCAAGCTGTGTAACATGTGTGTTGGTGGGCTGCAGCACCTTCCTAATATTGAGTTGCACCCCCTCAGAACAGCCTCAATTCATCAGGGCATAGACTCTACAAGGTGTCGAAAGCGTTCCACAGGGATGCTGGCCCATGTGGACTCCAATGCTTCCCACAGTTGTGTCAAGTTGGCTAGATGTCCTTTGGGTGGTGGACCATTCTTGATGCAGTTCTTGAGACACTCAAACCGGTGCGCTTGGCACCTACTACCATACCCCGTTCAAAAGCACTTAAATATTTTGTCTTGCCCATTCACAGTGTAGATGAATGGCACACATGCACAATCCATGTCTCAATTGTCTCAAGGCTTAAAAGTCCTTTAACCTGTCTCCTCCCCTTCATCTACACTGATTTAAGTGGATTTAACAAGTGACATCAATAAGGGATAATAGCTTTCACCTGGATTCATCTGGTCAGTCTATGTCATGGAAAGAGCAGGTGTTCTTAATGTTTTGTACACTCAGTGTGTGCGTGTCCTCTGACCAATGTATTCTTTTGTGTGCAGTCATATTCAAGACCATTTCAACAACTTCAGCCATTGCAATGAACCTACACAGTGAGTGAACCACATTCTCATTCCCCACCATATCAACTCTGATCCTTCCTTCACACTGTTTGTCCATCACAGACATAACCTTGATGCTTCCCTCCACGGGACTCAGTCCTGTGTTCTGTATCCTGTATGCAGAGCGGTATCCCATTGTAAATGATGGTGTTGGACCGAGCATTGAGATGGATCTGCGTGCTCAGCCTACTGATGCCCCAAACCAAGGCAGTTGGATCTTGACACCTTCCTTCTGACTGGCATGTCTTGGCTGCCATGGATGGGATCAGGAAGGCTTCACCATCCACATTAATTAGGATGACCAACCCATTGAATATGCTCCAGTGATGCCTGCAAGGAAGTGTACTGTCTGGAGAGTGGAGTCAGTGGAACATGAAAAGTAGTTAGTTGCAAGAAAGGGATCTCAAATGGGTCGTGAGACGCAAGGAGTGCTAGTAATGTGTAATGTGTGAATTGTTATAACATCCTTTACAAACAGATTAAATGACTGTTCTGTGTTAAAGCAGAGATATATCAGCTCATACGAGTTGCATCCCCAACAGAACAGGTCTGTCTGTGAGAACCTACAGAGATGAGTCAGCAACCTCTCTTTTAATGCACCTGAAGGCTGCTGGGTATAGTGGGTGACTTTAAAGAGCATCATTGTTTTGTGCCTTTAAACATTTTTCTGACCCCCACCTTCTCCTTTTTTTCCTCATGTATGGTGTGCAGTCTGGCAGCTGTTGTTAAAAAATGTAAACTAAACTGAGGATGCATCACACTACTGCACTAATAGGAGCCTCCCCACTGGGCCAGACGTCAATTAAACGTAATTTCATTGTGTGCCCAGTGGGTCATTTGTTTAGTTTATTTCAGCCGCCGATGTTTATCTATGAGGGGAGACATCTTCATAAATGAATAAAAGATTGAACAATAATTTAATTAAATAGGCTAATGGATTGATTAAAAAACCTAGGCCTACATTTTCTGTTAATAAGAGCCTGAGGATGGCCAACAAGGCCCATTAAAACATGGCTCTTTATGTAGCTAAATGATCCTTGGTATGACCATCTTAAAACAATTCCATATAGCTTAGTTCCAGTTTTTAAACCTTTCCATCAAGTGAAATGACCCCTTTAACATGGGAATAGATTGTGAATTGTGTTAGTTTCCTTGTGCTGGATGATGGATTGGGTAAGAGAGTCAAAATACATCTGGGATATTGGCAACCACACTATGGCACTAGCAAGCACCTAAAACTGAGGAACAAGTAGAAATCTTGGTTAGATTTCATTTGCAACCTTGAAACGTTCAAAACCTCAAAACACATTGCTTTATTGTCCTCAATTCGTTCCACACTAAAATAGTCAGAAAATGGTGATAGGGGAGAGTGGGGTAAGTTGACCCTCATGAAAAAGCACTAATGAATTAATGCTCATCACTACTACACAAGATCTACACAAAACGTACTGGTTTTACTACTTGATTGCTATTGAGATGTGTAGTAAACCAGTAGTAATTTATGTAGTAATTTAAGTAGTAATGAGTGATAAATTGGGACGATGCACTACTGGTGAACACTACAGTGCCTTCATAAAGTATTCACACCCCTTGACTTTTTCCACATTTTCTTGTGTTACAGCCTGAATTTAAAATGGATTAAATTGAGATTTTTGTCACTGACCTACACACAATACCCAATAATGTCAAAGTGGAATTCTGTTTTACGAAAGGAAGGAAAACGCTCAGGGAAATCACCATGATGTCAATGGTGACTTTAAAACAGTTACAGAGTTTAATGTCTGTGATAGGAGAAAACTGAGGATGGATCAACAACATTGTAGTTACTCCACAATACTAACCTACTTGACAGACTGTAAAGAAGGAAGCCTGTACAGAATAAAAATATTCCAAAACATGCATCATGTTTGCAACAAGGCACTAAAGTAACTTTTTGTCCTGAATATAAGTGTTATGTTTGGGGCATATCCTATTCATCAAGGATCTCTCTGTACTTTGCTCCGTTCATCTTTCCCTCGATCCTGACTAGTCTCCCAGTCCCTGCCACTGAAAAACATCCCAACAGCATGATGCTGCCACCACCATGCTTCACCGTAGGGATGGTGCCAGGTTTCCTCCAGACGTGACGCTTGGCATTCAGGCCAAAGAGTTCAATCTTGGTTTCATCAGACCAGAGAATCGTGTTTCTAATGGTCTGAGAGTCCTTTAGGTGCCTTTTGGCAAACTCCAAGCGGCCTGTCATGTGCCTTTTACTGAGGAGTGGCTTCCGTCTGGCCACTCTACCATTAAGGCCTGATTGGTGGAGTGCTGCAGAGATGGTTGTCCTTCTGGAAGGTTCTCCCATCTCCACAGAGGAACTCTGGAGCTCTGTCAGAGTGACCATCAGGTTCTTGGTCACCTCCCTGACCAAGGCCCTTATCCCCCAATTGCTCAGTTTGGCCAGGTGGCCAGCTCTAGAAAGAGTCTTGGTGGTTCCAAACTTCTTCCATTTAAGAATGATGGAGGCCACTGTGTTCTTGGGGACCTTCAATGCTGCAGACGTTTTTGGTACCCATCCCCAGATCTGTGCCTCGACACAATCCTGTCTCGGAGCTCTACGGACAATTCCTTCGACCTCATGGCTTGGTTTTTCCTCTGAAATGCACTGTCAACTGTGGGACCTTATATAGACAGGTGTGTGCCTTTCCAAATTATGTCCAATCAATTGAATTTAGCACAGGTGGACTCCAATCAGTTGTTGAAACATCTCAAGGATGATCAATGGAAACAGGATGCACATGAGCTCAATTTTGAGTCTCATAGCAAAGGGTTTGAA